CCCCCCCCCCCCCCCGCACCCCGCGAGACAGGGGTTCTCTTTGTAGCTCTGGCTGGCCTCAAACTCGTAGATCCCCCCTGCCCCCAAGTGCTGGGATTAAAGGTGTGCGCCACCACAGCCTGGTTTATTTTTATTTGTTATATTTTATTTACTTTGTGGGAGGTGGGATAGGGATGTATGTGCCATATATGGAGGTTCTTTCTTTCCAACCCGTTGGGGTTGGGGTTGAACTCTGGTCCTCAGGCTTGGCAGCGGATGCTTTATCTGCCAAGCCAGCTCATCAGCCTTCTTATTTTGTTTCATTTTTTTCTTTTGGTTTATTTTGCATGTGGGGATGTATGCAGGCATGTGTATCTATGCTTGGTGCCCAAGGAGATTATTGGAGGGCATTGGATCCCCTGAAACTGGATGGTTCCAGATGGTTGTGAGCCATGGGAATTGGACCCAGGTCTTCCATAAGGGCAACAAGTGCTTTTAACCACTGAGCCATCTCTCCAGCCCCTAATTGTCTCATTTGAGACACTTAAGTTACTCAGACTGGCTTTGAATGTCTGATTGTCTCCCACCCTCTGCCCCCTGAGTATTTGGAATTCCAGGCAGGCACCACCACACCTTGTTTGTTAATTTTCTTCTTTTTTGCAGGCTGGGCATCAAATGCAGGGCCTGCACATTCTGGACATGTGTTCTGCCGCTAAGTCCAGCTCAGTTACTAGTGTCTGAAGCTTTTGCTGATCAGTGGGGGACAGAGGGGATGGTCTTGTTGTTGTTCAGGGTATTGCCCTCGTTTCTAGGGAGAGAAAGCCTCTTTTTGTTAGTTTATTGGCTCTGTGTAGAGTTAGATCATCCTTCCTCCCAGCCCCATGCTCTCAGAAATAAGACTCAAAATATATTAACAAATATTTTGGACATATAGCCAGGCTCTTCTCTGATGAGATCATAACTTAGTATAAGCCATTTACTCTAATCTGCATTCTGCCACGTAGCTGGTTACCTGTGCTCAGGTACCATGTGTCACCATTTGTCAGGGCAAATCTCCTGAGTCTCGCTCTATCCCAGAATTCTTTCTGCCTCCTAGATGTCCCACCTTCTACTCTTCCCTTTCCTATTGGCCATAGGTTTTTAATTGACAGGTGAGGCGTCCATACAATACACAATTCTCTCTACGGCTCTGTCCATTTTCTCTGTAGTTGATACCGTGCACCTCTATTTTTATTGGGTCATCTGTTTGCTCTTGATTTGTGGGAACAGTTTTTTGTATATGATATACATTAAGTTTTGCTGATCTCTGCAGTTGTTTCTATAGCCCCACCCCTGGCTTTTTATTTCTTTCTTAGATAAGATCTTGCTATACTCCCCAGGCTAACTTTGTACTTGAAGTTATACAATCCTCCTGCCTCAGCCTTCTGGATGTTGGGGTTACAGGTGTATACCATCACAGGCAGCTGGCATTTCCCTTTGGACTTTTCAGTTTAGAAACTGAAAGCAGTGTATAAAATTATATTTACAGAATTATATTTATTTATTTATTATTTATTGAGCATGGAGGGGGAGGAGCCGTAGCATGCATGTGGAGGTCAGGGGTCAACCTCCTAGAGTCAGTTCTCCTTCCACCAGGTAGGACTGGGGATTGAACTCAGGTTGTCGGGCTTGGCAGCAAGTTCATTTACACACTGAGCCCCGTCACGGACCCCAAAACATTGTTTTGTTTGGTTGGTTTGGGTTTTTCAAGACAGGGTTTTTTCTTTGTAGCCTTGGTTGGCCTGGAAATCACTCTGTAGACCAGGCTGGCTTTGAACCCTCAGAGACCCACATCCCTCTTCCTCCCGAGTGCTGGGATTAAAGGTGTACGCCACCGCACCCCAGCTGCAAACAGTATTTTTTTTTTAAAGGCCCAATTACTTTTTTTTTTTTTTTTCAAGACAAGGTTTCTCTTATAGGCTGTCCTGGAACTCACTCTGTAGACCAGGCTGGCCTCGAACTCAGAAATCTGCCTGCCTCTGCCTCCCGAGTGCTGGGATTAAAGGTGTGCGCCACCACTGCCTGGCAAACAATTACTCTTTAATTAATTGAATATCTCATGTTTAGGCCCCGTGCTTATAAAAATATTTTTTTCCACTGTGATTTTTTTATTTTCTTTTGAGACAGGTTCTTATTCCAGTTTAGGCTGGCCTCAGACTTAGAGAATCCTCCTGCCTCAGCCTCCTGAGTGCTGAGATTATAGGCATGAGCCACCATGCCATGTTTCCCTTTAATCTTTTAAAATTGTTACAGTTAGTTAGTTAGTTAGTTTTGGGGGAGTGCACAAACATACCATGTCATTCATGTAGAGATCAAAGGACAGCTTGCATGATTTAATCTTCTTCTTCTACTATGTGGGACCCTGGGGTTGAACTCAGGGTGTCAGACTTGGCAGCAAGCACCTTTAGACACAGAGCTAGCTCACAGGCTCTCACCTTTGATATTTCGATCTACGGATTAGACTCTGTCATACAACTAAGCTAACTTGTGTTGCATGAGGTGGAAATGGTTGTTCTCTCACTGGCCCCAGGCATACAGGAAAGCCTGCATCCTTCAACACTGTCTTTGTCCTCTGGGGCTCTCAGGCCTTCCCACTGCACTGTGCATACATCCTAAAAGCCAGTGGCTGACATCCTGTGTCTTCATATATCACCTTTCATTTTATTTTCTGGATCAGGATCTCTCAATGAGTACCCAGGGCTTGCCAGTTAGCAAGACTAAATAGCCAGTGAGCTCCCGGGACCATCCTGCCTCTTCTCCCAGTAATGGGATGGCAGGGCGTGCTGCCACAGCAAACCCTTTTGGTGATGCTGTGGGTCCAGAGTCAGGCCCTCATGCTGGTAGGGCAAGCATTTCACCCTCTGAGCCAACTCCCAGCCCTAAGCCATAATCTTGGCAGTCCGTATACATGGCTCATCCGGATGAACTTCATTTTATATCTTGGGGTGCTGGGGGTGGTACTGAGGACCTGGCCATGTTAAGCTCCTATTTGCTGAGGTTGCCCCAGCTAACCTGATGGAGGCTGCAGGCCCAAGGAGAGTGGGGGAAAGGGCCAGTTACCTTCAGTGTTAAAGTTCCCTGGGGACATCTTTAGGAACCTCAGGACTGATGGGGCAGTGAGGAGTCTGAAGGCCCCTCTTCTTTTTTTCTGACCTACTGAGCCTTGGGATCCTTAGCCTAGAGACAAAGATAGGGGTGATGAGGACCCTTTTTAGGATCAGCAAAAAGCTCTGGTCTTCATTCCACATGAACACCCTAGGCTGCATCCATGTCTTCCCCTCTTGGCTGGAATCCTCGGCTCTCAAGGGTGGGGAAGGGGTTGCCTCCCGCTGCTGAGGCTCTTTCCTGTGTTGTAGACAAATACAATGACTTCATCGAGGCCAATCGGATAGAAGATTCCAGGGAGAGGATGAAGACGCTGAGGAAGCTGGTGAGGAAACAAAGCTGTCAGGCGGGGCAGCCGGGTGCCGTCCTCACAGAGGCCTTTTCCACCAGTGACCTCAGTCAGTGTCCCCAACTGAACCAAGGAAGGGAGTTGGAGCTGGATTTCATCTTCCTACAGTGGGATGGTTGGAGTTCCTTTAGGATGTGTGGAGACAACACCACAACCTGATCCCCTTTCCCTTCCTCCTGTCCCCTAGATCCGGGATCTCCCAGGACACTACTATGAAACACTTAAATTCCTCGTGGGCCATCTCAAGACCATTGCTGACCACTCAGAGAAAAACAAGGTGTGTGATGCTCCCTATGGAGTCTGCTGCACCCAGACTGGTGCTTCCTCCCTGTGAGCCCTCCCTCTTCCTAAGTGTTCTCTCCCTAGCACACCAGCCAGTAGTGCAGCCGCCTGCAGCCAGCCAGAGCCGGTCCCTCCTAGAGCCATTCCCTCCTAGAGCCAGCTCCTGTGTCCTGAGGGCATGTGGAGGCCAAGAGCTCAGTCCTCCATGCAGGGGAGCGTGTGCTCTCTGCTCTCGGAGCCAGTTCTAATCCCTTTACTTTGCTTCTTCCTAGTCCATGTCTTTGTCTTGTGGCTCTACAGTGGAGAAAAGGAAGTAAATGATAGGATTTCTCCTTGTTCTAAAATACCCTAGAATCTCCAACATGTCCCTCCATAGAATCCCCACAGCTGTTCCTAACCTCTCAGGGTCCCCTAGATGGGCCTGTGAGGTGAGCAGTGATCATGGCTGCCAGGCCTGGACATGAGAGACTTTAAACACTGGGCTTGAACTCTGTTCAGCAAACCTCTTTGTGCCCATGTGAGATGTTCATCCCCTCCTCTCAGGACATGTCAGAGTTGGGAACGGTGGCCCGTGACCTGGAGAGAAGGGCACTGGAGGTCATACGTAAAGCAATCCTGGATTTTCCCCCTCCCCAACCCAGATGGAGCCCCGGAACCTGGCTCTGGTCTTTGGGCCAACGTTGGTAAGGACATCTGAAGACAACATGACAGACATGGTGACCCACATGCCGGACCGCTACAAGATCGTGGAGACGCTGATACAGCATGTAAGTGCTCATTAGATATTTGTATACCAGGCCCAGGCTCTGCCCCTGCCAGTCTGTGTGCCCCAGTATGCTTGCAAAAGCACCTGCAGCCAAAGAGGACCCCGCTAGGGGGCGGTGACTGGCTGCCATCAAGGCAGAACAAGAGGAAAAAGATTGGAAGAAGAGACAGGGAAGAGATGCGGGGACAGGACCATGGGGCTGGAGGCTCATTCAGAGGCTCCTCAGCAGGCTATTCTAGGGGAGGCGGCCTGCAGAACTGGGGCACTTGGGTGTGACTTGGGTGTCAGAGATCTGTTTCCCAACAGCCACAGGCTGGTCAGGGAGCACAGGAGGTACAGGACATGGAGCAGGAGCCAAGGTCTATCCTCCATGATGCTCTGGTGCAAGCCACTGCTTTACCTCCCCTCTAACTCCTGGAAGAGAGTCTTGCTCTTGTCTAGAAAGACTGAAGAAGCCATAGTGACCAGCAGAGGGCGGTAGAGGCCTCTATCTTCTGAAGCCCACTCAAAAGGCAATTACCTTCTTCTTGGGCAGTTTCTCAACTTGTAGGTTGCCATTCATAGGGATTGGCTAAGACCATCAAAAAACAAAGATATTTATGTGACAGCTCACGACAATAAGACAATTACAGTTATGAAGTAGAACAAAATGTTATGGTTGGGGTCACCTCAACCTGAGGAACTGTATTAAGGAGTCTCAGCGTTAGGAAGGCCGAGGACAGCTGGCTTAGGGGCTCAAGGGTGGTCTTTATGAGTCTTCAGGTTTCCCACTGACCTCTGGTGACAGCCACACAGTGTGGACTCTGAGTGCCCTCCTGCTGAGGCAATAAGGTCACCCTTTGGTCACAAGAAGGGAGCTGTGGCCCTCCCCTTCTCAGACACCGTAGGGAAGAAAAGCGAGTCTTGTCACCACGTACAGAGGAGGGAAATCAGCGCTCAGAGAGGGAATGGCCTGTGCAAGGTCACACACCAAGAATGGTATCTTCAGGATTTTAACCAGGTCCATCTACCCAGGGCTGACTTCCCAGCAGGCAGCTGCTGGGCCAGGGTATCGAGGCTGCAGTGGGCTTGGGTCATGCTGATTCTGTGGCCTGCTCATCCATTCTTTCACCCCCATGTCAGGGATCTGGCTTCAGGAAGGAGCACCACGGCCTGTTCTCTACTAACCTGAGACTGGCCACCTGGATGCTAAGCCTGCTGGCAACACAGGGATCTCTGTTTGGCCTGGGGAAGTTTTGTTCTCAAGTACCAAGATCCCCAGAGCTGCCCATAATGGGAGACATGGCTGTATGGTTTTTGGAGAAGTTGCTGGAAGCCTGAGGCCTGTGGTCAACACAGGAGTTCCTGGAACAGCAGCCTCTGGGAAGAAAGCAGGCCTGTAGCAAGTGGGCTTTCCTGGAGGCAATGTCTGCCCTCAGTAGGGTAGGGGCCATGTCCATCTAGATGCATAGCCTAGCGCGTGGGTGGTGAACACTGTGTTTGCTAAGTGACTGAGTCAGCGAATGAGTGACCTGCTGAGGCTAGGCAGGCCAGGCCTTCCTGCAGGGATTCATTCCTGACAAACAGCTGAGCCGGTGAATTTCCATTCTCAGCCTCCCAAGCCTGGGGACATCTTTAAATCTGAGTAGGCTCCATCCTCTGCAGCCCCCTTGGGCCAGACCACCTAAGAGTCTGGGAATCTCTATAGGAGCAGCAGAGCCCAGGCAGAGGCGCTTGTGTAGACTGAAGTCAGTCCTGGCCAGACAGTGACCATTGGAATTAGTGGATAACATTAACTCCTGGGATTTCAGCCAAAATGGCTTCCCACAGTAGTTCCTGTCACAAAAGGAAGCCTGCTGTCCCCAGGCTTCCAGGCCAGACTTCATGAGGAGAGGGTGGGACGTGTGAACAGGACTGCCTCAGAGTGAAGAGGAGACCCTGGTGCTCGGTGGAAGTCATCCCAAAGCCCTGCTGTGCTCCCCAAGTCAGCTGGCACCCAGAGCTCAGGGTAGAGGATTTAGTCATTTATTCGGCACATGTGGTGTCCTGGTACTTCTCAGCCTTGACACTTTTTCTTTCCCTTGTTAGGAGTGGTACCCAGGGCATTGGGTATGCTATCCCAGTGTTCTTGCACCAAGACACAGTCCTGACAGTGCTCTCCCGAGTGTTGGAGGGTATTTGACGCCATTGCTGGCCTCTGTCCCTTGATACTAGGCTCTCTCCTCAACTGTGACATTAGGAAATAGGCCTGTGTAAGGAAGAGAGAGTTCAAGGCCAGCCAGACCTCATAGAGTTTGAGGAGAGCCTCAGAGGTAGACTGAGGCCGACAGCCATTTTCTCCCCTTCTCCACATTTTAAAGCAGTTTGTAGTGACGCATTGTATGTTCTATGTTCCTCAGACTGTGAGAGGATGTTTAATACAGTGGTTTGTGGGAGAGCATGAGCAAGTACTTCAGCAAATTTAATGGTCTTTAGTCAGAGTTTTTATTTTCCTTTACGTGATTTTTGTCTCTTTCTAGGAATACATATATATTCTCTCTGTCTCTCTCTCTCTGTCTCTCTCTCTGTCTCTCTGTCTCTGTCTCTGTCTCTGTCTCTGTCTCTCTCTCTCTCTCTCTCTCTCTCTCTCTGTGTGTTTATTATTTATTTTGAGGTAGGGTTGGGTCCCACTAGATAACCCTAGCCTAGAATTTTCTATGTAGACCAAGCTGACTCAAACTCATAGAGGTCCACCTGCCTCTACCTCTGAAGTTCTGGGCTAAAGACATGTTCTGCCGTGCCCGGCTGTTATCCATGGTTTATATGTGTAGTTGTTTCCCGTGTTCTTCTGTCTTTCTAGAGATTTGAGCGAATATACAAAGTGATGGGTTTCATCATGGCATTTTCCTAAGTACCTGTCACTGTTTAGCTAGCTTCCCCGCTGTCCCTCCATCCTCTTTGCACCCCCTTTTATTTATTAGCGTAATATGTATTTCATAGTGGGGGTACACATCCCAGGGGTGCTGGAGGTCAGAGGACAGGTCTGGAGCTGGCCGTCTTCTACTTAGTGTGGGTCCTGGGGATTGAACTCGGACTGCCTGGCTTGCACAGTAAGTGTCTTTACCTACTGGGTCATCTCAGCGGTGCCCACGCCCTGGCTGGTATCCTTCCTCCATCTGAGGATCCCTTTTCTGCTCTCTGTCACACTCCCATCTGTTACGCTCTCTTCCTCCTTGAACACGGCCCCTTCCTGTTTTCATGGATATGGGAAAGCATGAAGCATTTGTCTTTCCGAATCTGGCTTAGTATAAAGATGTACAGTTCTGTCATTTTCTGATTTTCTGATGTCATGATTTTGATGCAGCTGTAAACATGGCTAGGCACGTAGTTTTGTTTTTAGTTTTTGAGCAACTGTCACACTGACTTCTGTAATGGCTGCACCAGGTTTGTAGCCCAGTCAGCAGCGAGTTAACAGCCTTTCCCCATATCCTCACCAGCACTTGTTAACTCTTCGTTCTCTCTGTCTCTGTCTCTCTCTGTCTCTGTCTCTCTCTGGCTCTCTCTGGCTCTCCCCCTCCTTTCTTCTACCTAAGACTGGCCTTGAACTCCTGATCCTCTGGGCTGAGTGCTGGGATTACAGGTGTGCAGCACACTGGCTCACTCGAGCCTGCTATCCTGTTCCAGTACAGTTTGAGGTCAGGCATTGTGACACCCCTTTCAGTGTTCCTCATTTAGTATAATGTTGACTTAAGTTTGTCACATATGGACTCACTATACTGATGTATGTCCCTTCTATTCCTAGTGTGCTCTATGCTCTGGTCATGAAGGACCTTGAGCCTTCTCTGCATCTGTTGAGGTGATCACATCATTGTTCTTGATATATATATTTGCACACTGCATTACATTTGTGGATTTGCACACGTTCATCCTTGCACACCTGGATAAAACCACCTTGGTTAAGGTGTGTGAGGATCGTAATATGTCATTGAATTCGGCCTGCAAGTACTTGTTGATAACTCTTGTGTCTCTGCTGATTAGGGAGAGGTCTACAGTTTTGTTCTCTTTTGGACTCTTGCCTAGTTTGGCATCAGGATAGAACTGACTTTGTAGAGTGACCTCAGTAGTTAGCTTCACTCTCCAATAGGGGAACCGCTTCAGGAGTGCTGTGAATTCGTCTGGAAAAGTTCGGTAGAATTTGGCAGAATTGTGGTAGGCATTTCATTTCTGCTTCAATCTGATTGGTTTTGGTTTTGTTGGTTTGGTTTGGTTTTTTGAGACAGGGTTTTTCTGTATGGCTCTAGCTGTCCTTGTCCTGGAACCCACTCTGTAAACCAGGCTGGCCTCCAACTCACAGAGCTCTGCTTCCCTCCTGAGTGCTGGGATCACAGGCGTGCAGCATTACTGCCTGGCACACTCTCTGATCTTCAGTGAAGTATTTACTGTTGTTGGAAGCATGCAGCACCCAGGGAGGCAAGAAGAAGGTGTCAGATCCTCTGGAGTTTGGGTGGCTGTGACCTGCCCGACATGGGTGCCCAGGAAACAGACCCAAGTCCTCTGGAAAGCAGCAAGTGCTTTTAACACCGAGCTATGTCTCCATCCCGCTGTGTTCATTTTTATTTTGAATGCACTGTGCAGGGCATTTGAGTCCTGCTGTCCTGGTACCGTCTCCTGTGTTTACTTTGCTTCTGATCAGTGTTTCTTTAGTAGATGTGGAAGCAGAGGTACACATGCACACACACACACACACACACACACACACACACACGTCACATCGTTCTTAGACAGGGCTCGTCTCGGACTCACAGTGTAGACCATCTGCAACCTTGGGCTTTTCCACCTTCCCCCAGTTCCTGACAAGTTACTCAGAGGCATATTTATGTATAGGCCGTAAGCTTCTGGGCTTGTTCTCCGACTAGCTCATAACTCATACAGCCCTTTTATTCTATTCTGTGTCTGCCACATGGCTGAGTAGTTAGCTCCCATAGTTTCATAGGTCCCAGTAGTGAATCTTCCCACTCCTGACTAACTCCCAAAGTTCCTCTC